CATCCATCCATCCATCCATCCATCCATCCATCCATCCATCCATCCATCCATCCATCCATCATCTTCCGCTTGTTCTGAAGTCGGATCACGGGGCAGCAGCTTGAGCAGGGAGGCCCAGACATCTCTTTCCACAGCCACCTCTTCCAGCTCTTCTGGGAGGACTCCAAGGCGTTCCCAGGCCAACCGATTGTCTCTCCAGCGTGTCCTGGGTCTTCCCCAGGGTCTCCTCCCAGTCGAACATGCCCTAAGCACCTCCCTAGGGAGGCGCCCAGGGAGCATCCTGACCAGATGCCTGAACCACCTGAACTGCCTCCTTCAATGTGGAGGAGCAGCGGTTCTACTCGGAGTGTCTCCCGGATTAACTGAACTTCTCACCCTATCTCTAAGGGAGAGTCCAGCTACCCTGCAGAGGAAACTCATTTCAACCGCCTGTATCTACGATTTCATTCTTTCGGTCACTACTCAAATCTTGTGACCATAGGTGAGGGTAGGAACATAGACCGACCAGTAAACAGAGCTTTCCCTTACAACTCAGCTTCCTCTTCACCACAACGGACCGGTACAGAGTCCGCAACTACTACTGTAGAATCTGCACCAATCCATCTGTCAATCTCACGTTCCATTCTTCCCCCACTCGTGAATAAAACACAGCGGTACATAAACTCCAAGGCAGAACCTCACCCTCGACCCAAAGAGAGCAATCCACCCTTTTCCGGTTGAGGACCATGGCCTCAGATTTTGGAGGTGCTGACTCTCATCCCAGCCGCTTCACACTCGGCTGCGAACCGCTCCAGTGAGAGCTGAAGATCACGGCACGACGACGCCAACAGGACCACATCATCTGCAAAGATCAGAGATGGAATCCTGACGCCCGCTGGCTGCACAGAGAAATTCTGTCCATAAAAGTTATGAACAGAATCGGTGACAATGGGCGGCTCTGGCGGAGTACAACTCCCACCCTGAAGGGGTCCGACTTACTACCGGCAATGCAAACCAAACTCTTGCACCGCTTTTATACCAAGTACGGTAGTTAGTGTTTAAACATTACACAATGAGTTCAGAAACACATTTCTTTTTATTAAGAACACAGCATCCATGTATCCTCTGTCAGCCTGCGGAGCCAACATGTCGTCTATTGCATCACCCTGCAGCTCAGCTGGGGGCCTCGGGTTAATGCACCCACAAAAAACCCCACATCACCTCACATCTGCTCATGCCTGGAAAGCAGTATGATGATGATGATGATGATGTACTGAGCAAACACTACTGAGGTTTTGAAGAACCGGGTTGTGCAGCTTTGTTCTTTTGAACTCTGGTTGGTTACTAGGCAACAAGAGTGACTGAGTGAGAAGCTCATGGGAACCAGGAGAGGGATAATTATCTCTTTATAGGAAATCTACTATCATTTCTCCTCTTTTGTTAGCCACGAGGGAATAATAGTTACAACTGTTCAGACTCTGAAGGTGATCTGACATTAGACGAACTGACCTCACTGATCTGTGCTGTGGAAACACAAAAAAAAAATAATAATTGTTTGTTTTTTTGCATCTTTTGATACTGTGATGTTTCCTTTATAGTATCATCGAAACCAAATTTAAAATCATCTGCATCAAAATCATTGAACGTTAAATTCAAGAGCCACCTTACTGAAACAATAAAAATCACTCTGAACTAGTTACTACTTGACTGGTTTAGCTTATTAATAATAATAATAAAAAAAATTATCATTTATCTAATTGTTTTTGCTTTCTTGACTTTAGACTACGAATAAACTTGCAAACTCATTTTATACTTGAGCGTTAAACGTTTGCGATTAAAGCAATTTATGTGCAATCGTTGGATTGTTTTAAGTAAATGCTTGGTTTAAAGACTTGCAAATGAAATTTCTTTTACGTGTTTCAATATTTGAACAAACCTACTCAACATGAAAAAAAAAAAAATCACAATTCAGATGTTTTGCAGTGGGTCTCAGGAAAGGTTGTGAACAGGTAACGTCTTACCTGTTATCAGATAAGACAACCAACTAGCCGGAGCATATCCTGACATCTTCAGCCTGTCGTTATCCCAGGCAGTGGTTCCCCGTATTTTCAAATCCACCATCATCATACCAGTTCCCAAAGGTCCAGACACGTCCACCCTTAACGACTACATGCCAGTGGCACTAACATCTGTATGAAGCGCTTAGAAAAACTGGTTCTTAAGCACATCAACTGCACAGTCCCAGATACTGTCAACCCCCTCCAGTTTACCCACTAACAATCGATCAGTGGTTGATGTGGTAGCAGTAGCCCCGCAACACGTTCTGCAACACCTGAAAACAGCAGAACGTACTCCAGAATGCTCTTCCTGGACTCCAGTTTGGCTTTGGATACCATCCGCCCGGGCAACCTGATAGAGAAGCTGACAGACCTCGGCATCCCAACTCCCAGCTGCTACTGGATCCTGGACTTCCTGACAGATAGACCACAGGTGGTGAGAATGGGAGGACAGGTGTCTGCTGCAGGGCTGTTGCCTCAGCCCTAAACTGGTTAATCTGTACATCTATGACTGTCTCCACCCAGCACAACACCATCATTATTAAATATGCTGACGACACTATATCAAGGCTCACCCAGGAGGGGAGCGGGTCAGGGTACAGGAGACAACATTATAAGCTATGGAGAGAAGAACAACCTCATCCGCAACACAGACAAGACTAAATAGATCATACTGGACTTCAGGAAGAACCCTCCCCCATTACAGCCTGTGATCATTTAATGGACTGGAGTGCTGACAGCCATAGATTCTTGGGACTGCAGGTTACATGGGACCTGAGCTGGTCTCTCAACGCCACAGCTGCAGTGGAAAAACGCCCAGCAAAGTCTTTACTTCATTAGGCTGCTCAGGAAACTGGGTCTGAACCAGTGCCCTCTCACACAGGCTTATGGAGGACTGTCCTAACCACAGCATCACCGTCGGGTATGGGAACGCCACACAAGCAGAAAGAAAGACACTGCAAAGAGTCACGGAGACGGTGGAGAGGACCACAGGGACAAGACTTCCGTCCGTGGACTCGACGTATGAAGAACGCCGTCGAAGAAGAGCAGCAGGAATCACGAAGGACTCACTCCGTCCAGCTCACTCTCTTATCAGACACAAAATATGTTCATACAACCCGAGACACAGTAGAGATGACATCATCATCATCAGCCACAGTACAAGTTTATTAATAGTTGTTTCTCTGCCACAGTCAGACTGAAGGCGAAACAAAACTACTGCTCAGGTGCAATAATAACTCTACACTGCCCAACTTCACTGGTCATGTGACATGGTTTACTTCCTGTACAACATATCAACCACTTTGTTCTTATTTTTATTTATTTAGTGTTGTTTCAGTGTTCTGACTATGTGAGAGCTCTGCACAAGAATTACAGGATTATTGGTCTGTGCACAAACGGCAAATAAGGCTTGAACATAGGATTTTGAATGACCTCCGTTAGGAAGAAAAGAGTTTTACTGAGTTTTATCTGGATCGATGAGCTAATGCCTAGTTAGAATGGGGCCAAGGCTAAACTGGATGTCTGCTCCAATCCGCACTCGGTTGTGTTGACAGGGCGAGCCGCCCTCCTAGGATGAAGGGAAACACTGGTGACTTTGTGAAGGTTTATAAAGTGACGTTTACATGAACCATTTCATAAAACCTTTGACACTGAAGTAGTTTTGAAATCTGATTTCATCTTGGCTGCACTTCATTATCAGAATTAAACGGTCTCTCCAAACGGAGGTCATTGAAGGTTTGTCCACAGCAGGTGAGATATTAATTATTTGCAATCTTTCCACAAGACTCTTCTCAGAAACTTCAGATTTTGTTAGTGCGTTTTTTGTGACCTCCTCAGCTTTAAGCTGATTAAAAGCAAAGTCCGCCACGCCTGATTCTGGCAACGATTCATTATTGTTGTGCTTGTTTTTGTTTACGCTCAGGGCAGAGGAGTCAAACTGAAGATTCAGTACAATCTGTTGCT